TGAAGTTGTTAACAGGTGTATTAACAGTTATTTAGTGATCCTTACAGAATTAGAAGAGAGGGAGAAGTCAGAGGGTATAAATAGGAGGGAAAATAATGATTTAGATTGAATTTGGAGTGTAGGTCAGAAAGGAGAGCTAGGACTCCTGGAATTGTCAGTTATTTTTTTCCATCTTCCCTCTCAATTCTGAAATCAAGCAATTACGGTTGCTTCCATCCTCTAAATATTGGAATTTTTATGTAAAAATACACAAGGACTAAGAAATATTTCTTCTAATCTTGATATTCTAAACCTTCCTAAAACTGGAGATATAACCATGTAACACTTTGCTTCTTGTGATTCTCATGTCAAACTTACTAGAACATATGAAAAGTTGTGAGATTTTTTTTTGCCTCTAAGCTAGCTGTGTCCATCATGGCATATTCATGATTTATCTTTTTCATCACAGAGTTTGATATCCTGATATCTTGAGCTCACAGTAGTATTGTTCACAGGTTCTTGAATCTAGTCCTTACTAAATGCATGCAAGGCTCCATCTCTAGATGTTATATCAAAAGAATTAAGTATCCAAACTGTATGAAAAGAATATCTATCGGTAGCAATTTATGAAAACAGAAGACCAATTTCAGCATGTCTCGCTTAATTTTCTGCTCAATTTTAAATTTACACATTTTATTATTTAACTTTCAAAATTTTGCACATTTTATCATCTAATTAATTAATTGTCTAACACGATTTGTTAACATGATGATTACTGACATGAATTAATGTGATATAGAAATATTATGACATAATATAATATATTACCTCATGAGTTAATGTGTTACATCAATGTTCCTGCGTAGGAACACTCCTCTTGTCATTCCTTCTTAACAGTCTTCTAAGTCTTCTGTGCCGACCGAATACTGCTCCCAAGAGGTGGGAGGGTACTTGCAAAGGCACTCCGACGATCAAGTAATTGTTCGGTATAGAGCAATAAATACTTTTATACCGGATAAAGCGTACCTCATTTATGTCTCATCACCTGCGTATTTATAGTGACGTGTTTGGGCCTGGTGGGCCTTCTGTCTTGGGAGATGGGTAATACCTCGGTTAACCTTGATCTCTCTTAATTAGCTGCGATGATTATTGTATAATGGATACCTTAATCTTGTCATGTGTTTCCCATCAGTTGACTTCTAAGTCTTCGGTCAAGCTGTAAGCCAAAAAGGTATTCGGTCGTGCTCATGACCGAGGGGGTGTTCGGCCAAATGTAAAGCCGAGGGGGTCCAACTAAGCTTGAGGTCAAATGAGTTCCAATCGGAGGGTTTGGCCAAGCTTACAGCCGAAGGGGGGTTCGGCCAAGCTTAAGGCTGAATGGGTGGTTCGACCAAGCTTAAGGTCGAATGGGTATTCGGTCATGGTGTAAGCCGAGGGGGTGGTTTGAGCCTTTCCTCTTGATACTCTTTTGCCGTTTTGGGATGCTTGTTCCCCTTTTCTGTCAAGAAAGGTATTCGGCTATCTTTAAGGTCGAAAGGGTATTCGGTCAAGGTCACAGCCGAAGAGGTGATTTAAGTGGAGATTTCGTCGATTTAGGTGCTTTCCTCGGCCTAGGATCCGACCAAAAGGGTGTTTACTAGTACAATCAATAATTAAAATGTTGCATTAACGGTTAACTAATAGCAATACACAAATAATTAAAGATGTGACAATGTGAAAGAAAAAAAATATTGGAAAGTCGTGCCAAAATTCATAAATTGTGAAACATAGGTAACAAAAAGTGTAATTAAGCAATTTTTGTTATAATAGGTGCAGTTTTCAATGGTGTGTGATTATCGAGTTTAGCCCCAAAATTATGATCGACATATTACTCTTCATACGAATCAGATTCGGTTAAGAACTCTAGATTAATGCTGTTATGGTTTGTGTTACTTACCAACTCAATGCGCGTCTGCATTCACGTAACCCATCTATGTTTTAAAAGATTTGGTTTGTGTTACTTACCAACTCAGTGCGCGTCTGCATTCACGTAACTGATTTACGGTTTAAAAGATTTGACGCAGAAGTAAAAAACTATTACTTCTTATTTTTGCGTTTTCTTATGCGAATTAAGTACGGTGAAACCAAACTCACAATCAGAGTCATGTTGGGATGCAAGTAAAGTCTCACATTGTTCAAATAAGAAGATGAACATGAATTTATATACACATAATTGTCTCTAGTAACAGAGAAACTTTTTAGGTGATATCCAAAAATAAAACTGTGAAGACTTGAACCTAAAACTGAGAATATCTCACTCATGTAAAGACATATGTGCTTACGTGTTAAGCCCCAATCCGCAACAAGAAGTCATTCAGTGAATTAAAAAGCAATAACCTTGAACCTCAACCTATTGAATACCCTTAAAAAAGAAACGGTAAGTAACGGAGGAAAAAAGTGTATTATTTACTGTTAAAATTGACACCTTGATCCAATATGCAATAAAGGTGTCCCCCTTTGTTTTTATTGAATATGCAGTAAAGGGTTTCACATGACATAACCACTAGCTCTGGTTGATGAAAGAAAAGTTTCATTACGAGAAAGAGAATGAAGTCTTTTGCTTTGCTAATGTTTTCCTTAGCAGCTTTAGACTGCAAAGCGTGCTAGTCTTCCAACGGCTCGGAGCTCAAAGCCTCCTAAAAGAACTAGTTGTGACAAAGAGAGAGAGAGAGAAAAGAGAACTAGAAAATCAAAAGTGTTGGGGGATTTTTCAGAGAGATAATTCTTAGAATATAGTAAGATTTTACACTTCAATTCTCATACCATTAATGTACACTACAGAGCATAGCCTGCATTCTTACGTACTTCGGAAGTAGAAAAACTGAAAATTCACGGATAACATTCAGAAGGGTCAAAACACTTGCAGGCTTTGAGTTTTGACACAGTTGTATTTTACAGCTTGTGGGGACTCTAGACACATTTATGCATAAAAAAACCCGACCAAGCATAAGATATTTAGAATTAGGACAGGTTGAATATTGTATAGTATACAAAGCCATAATCGAGTAATTCTAGACCTTGCACTGTCATTGACATTTGGAAATTCTCAAATTTTCTCCTTCAAAAGTAAAACGACATGAAACTAAGAAACAAGATAATCTCCAAAAGAAAAGAAAAATAATAATACAAGTTTAAATATGATAATATAACATTAACAGGATTATAGATTTTTTTATGGTAGGTTATATTAAGAGGGGTTATTAAAAGCAAATAATTAGTGAAAAGTTACAGCAAGACAACTTTGATCGACGGAGTCACTAATGATGGTGGGCAAACAGGAAATACCCTTTGGCAAGGTATAATAAGATGTTTCAAATAATGTCCCTAAAGACAAATAAAAACAATATAATAAGAGATTGATCCTATAAAGTTCAGAAAGAATATATGGAAATTCACTACTAGAATCTAATTGTTGTATTTTCGATAAATATGATTAGATTTAGAGGTGTCCCATTATCTATCTGGTGAGACTGAAAAAGTTCGAAGAAAAGTGAAAGAGGAAACAGCCACAACCTTGACTATTTAAACATAGAAAATTGCTAGTCTTGTAAAAAGCATAACAAAGATATAAAAGCATAAACAATGTTAAAATAATGTGTATTCAAACAAAGAAAATACTTGTATGATTTCTAAAAGCATAAATTTTTCATGTTAAAAATGAGAGATAATCTATGTATAGGTAATATAAAGTAATTTACTAATTTTTTATTATCATTCAATCATAAATTGTTATGGAAAATATATCACATTATTCACTTATAAAAGAAAATACATTTGCCTCCTATACACCCCACAAGAAAAAGCGTAAATAGCACATAATTCATTTCCATGATTAGGATTTAGGAGCAACAAGTAAAGTTTGCAACAACTGCTGGTGGAAACAATTAAGATATATGGGCACTTCAGCATTACTCATTGAATAAGAACCCTCCCAATCATGTGAAAACTCTCACCATCCCTCTGCACTCACAATGCCATGTATTTAATACATTTTACCTACTGATCTTCATACACGCTGATCCAAACATCCCACAACAACAAAATACTAATAATTATGAAGAAAAACAAATCAAAATTTAACAAGATTCTTTTATCGAGTCAGGTGTCCTTCGACTAGAAGTTAATGATTAAACTTCATACATACTTGAATTATTTAAAGAACTAACTTCTTCCAACATATATTTTTCATATAAGAAGAGTACCGGTAATACATTCTCTAACACGCTTTTGTGACACATACTTTTATTAGTTAAAATTATTGAAAATCATAAAATCAAGAGAGAATAATTAAATAAAATGTGAAACTTACCAAATTTTATATTTTATAATAAAATTTAACCAATAAAAAAATGTGTTTGAAAGTGTGTTAGTAACATTTATGTTTCATACACGCAAATTTAAAGATCAAACTTAGTGTGTTTATAATCAAAATAACAATGCAAATTATTAAGCTCTCCATATTTAAAAAAAGTAATAAGAAATAACTTTTACATCAATTAAGTGCATATTTGAGAACACATCCTAAAAATATAAAGTCATGTCACTAGCAAAATTACAATATATAACTCCAACGTCTTTTATATATCTAATGTGGTAATTATCACATATGTAACGTGTATGCAAATATGTTTTAAATCTACTAGTAAAAATTTTTTTATCACAATTTTTTTTTATCGTTGATGTGATTTTATGACATTGTTCCAAACAAATTGATAAAATCACATATAGAAAATATGAGGTTATTTATCAATCATACTATAGTCTTAAATTTAACAAGCTTAAGTCCACACAAAGCCAAACCCTAAATCAAATGTAGTTCTTCCATGAATGATTTGGTCATGATACTATACTACATGCTAATCCCTGAGTTAACTTTAGTGAGGGTGAGTACTTTAAACCTAAATGAGGTAGCATACTGCCAAACTTTACATAACCCCACCTTTTCTTTTATCTTTATATATATTACACTACATATGAACCCCACTAGCTTTTACCCTTTATTTTTCTTTGCCTTTCCCTTTGGTTCCAAACACTAACATCACAAATCCTCTTCTTTTTGGTTATAGAAACAAGACACCTTTCTGCCATTCCCCTCAGCCAAGGCTTATTCTCTTTGAATCTCAAATTAACACCATGTCATTGCAATTGCCATTGACCCTTTTCTTCTTCTTGTGCATCCTCTTCTTCCCTTGCTACCTGTGCCACAACCCTGACTCAGACAGAACAATCACCCTTAAGCCTATTTTGCTAACCCCATCCAAGCCTACGACAACAATCCCTGCATTCCCTGAACAATCTGATGTTGCAGGGTGCCCTCTTACCCTCTCAGATGAATTCTTTGATGGGATCAAAAGTGCATGTGGTGGCACCAAAAGTGGTGGTGGTGATAACATGGAGCTCCACCACAGCAGGTGCTGCCCTGTGCTTGCAGCATGGTTGTATTCAGCATATTCTGCCACTGCACTAGGCCATGGGCATGCCACAGCAGCATATGACATGATGCCCTTGCTGCCAGATGACTCAGAAACCTGTGTGAATGAGCTGGGAAAAGCCTTGGAAGTGAGGGGAATTGAGCTGGCCAAGCCTAATGAGACTTGTGATGTGGTGTACTGCTTCTGTGGCATTAGGCTGCACCACTTGACATGCCCTGATGCATTTTCTGTTGGCCAAAGTGGGGAGCTTGTGGGGGATGCAAGTGTGAGAAGGTTGGAGAAGAGTTGCTTGAGTAGCACCACAAATGTCAATGGCTTACCAGGTCTTGGAGGCTGCTCTAAGTGCTTGAATAGCCTCTATTTGGTGAGTTTTCCTTAAAAAAATAATTAAAAAAAATCTCTTTTTTTCTCTAAGGTATGTTTTCAACTTTTCATGTTTTGGTGTTCTATTTGGTGACATATTTTGCTTAGTTCATTGTGAAATGGAATTTTGATGGATCTTGTTGAGATTTGAAGAAGATCAAGATGGCTTGTTTAGGTTTCATCTTCTTCACTCATGCTTAGTACTTAGTAAAGTTGTGTCTTGCTTGCTTTTGTTTACTAGTTGTCATGTTGGTTGCTTTCTAAGCTTTTTGCACATTGCCTCACGCGCCTTTGTAGCTTGTGTGGTTCACGAACGTGGGCAGAACCAGTGGTGGAATTGTTGTACACTTTGTAGGGAAGCAACTATTTTTTTTTGTCACGTGAGAGAATTTAGGGAGAAAAACAGTATTAACTCTAATGTGTATTAAAATCAAGTTCTTCACTAAACCTTGATATAGCTGTGATAAGCAAGTGCAATGTCTCTATCTTGGTACTTCAAATTAAGTTGTAGTCTTGGATTCTTGGAATTAAGAGGACAGTTTATCTAGCAGCAGTCCTTTTTGCTAATTATCTTTTGATTAAGTGGGAAAACGACTCATTTTATTATGACAAATAGTGTCATTTGTTAAATGTTAGGACCCCACTCAATTTGTCAATTTGACTGTTCTAGTCATAAATGATGGTTTCTTGATATAGAATTTTAATTTTATTATTTTCTTTCTCTCATCTCATATGTGTTGATGTAACATACAGTTTTTTACTTAGCACCGTACAGTTTTGAGGATTAGATGACAACATCATTTGTGGCTTGTTTTTATTTGTCGTTCATGTTCTGATTTATTGTAAGCAGCTTGCAGAAATGCTGTCCCTTGTTGCTAAAATCCTTGCAATTGAATCTTAAATTATCATCTAATGTTTCATGCTAGATGTCACAAATGTTTTTGTTGTATTTGAAAACATGATTCACGGTAATTGCATATTGCCACATTAGAAATAACATAGTAATTGCATATTGCCACATTTTATTAAAAACTTTGATTAGGTAGTGTATTAGCCTTTATGTTCATCTCAGACCATTTTTAAGAGTGGATGTTACACCAACCAAGATGCTATTTAAGAAGCTTTGATGCACCAAACCAAACCCCTTTTGTGTAATCACTCATATGATATCATATCATATCATATGCAACCTCTTTTGATATTCTCATTGAAATATTACTTCTAAGCAGCTTAACAAGAAGACTTCAAATTCAAGCAAAGCAGAAGACAGGACCACCAAGATCCACAACAAAGCTTGTGAGATCATGGGCCTGACATGGCTTCTGGCTAAGAACAGAACAGCTTATATGCACACGGTTTCGGCAGTTCTTCGTGCATTGATGCTGAACACTGATGGCTCCTACCCTCAATCCTGCTCTCTAAACAGTGATGGAATGCCTTTAGCTGTGGATTCATCTGAAATCTCTGATCACTCTTCATCAACCGCCCTCCAACCACCCTCCTATGTTTCTTTGTGGTTACTTTGTTTGCTACTACTAAATGTGCATTTTGCAATGTTATCCTCTTAGCTCCAATATGATGAACCAAAAGAGGATCTCAAGCATGACATTTTGTAGATTTGAATCTGTGATGTTGTTGCATAGGAATGTAGTTTTTTTTCTGAGTTATTGAATGCAATAGGGTGAGTGAGGTGTGATATTTGTCACGGTTTTGTTTTAGTGGACCACCATAATAGGGTGGCATTTTTCATACTTATGTGCTTGACGGGCAATTTATGCATTATGGAACATTAACTTCATCACCAGAAGTAGAACATAGTTAATGTGGAATCATTCCAAGGACATTAAGGACAATGACTTGTCACAAGTTCAGCATGAAGAAATTATAACTCGGCAAACGGGAAAATTTTGATAACGAAAAAGAAAAAGAACTGAAAAAATAAAATAAAATAAAAACAGTTACTTAACGGCAACATGTCAATACTTTAACCTATTGAAGGTAAAACTAATGATGTCCTTATAATGTCATAATATTTTTGCATCTACTCTTGTTGTTGGGATACAAATAAGTCTCATATTGAAAAAATAAGACAAGAAATAACAACTTATATAACACAAAAATACTTCAATGATAGTCTTTTGGGTGATGATCAAAAGTAAAATTGTGAGGGCTTAGACCCAAAGCGGTCATCATTGTGAAGTATGCGTGTGCAATAATCTTATAAAAAATAAAACTAATAAAATATTCTCTCAAATAAATACCATAAAATAACCATAATAGTGGTATCAGGACCCAAAACGGATAATATCTCATTATTGTGGAGTATGTTTGTCCAATAACCTTATAAAAAATAACATTAATAAAATATCTCCTCAAACAAATACCATAAAATAACTCTAATAGTGGTATTAGAGTCGCCTAGTTGGATGCGATAACAAGTCCCTTGTTTGAGGGGAAGATTGTTGAGAATCAAAAGCAAAATCGTGAGGGCTTAAATGCAAAGTGGACAATATTTCATCATTATGGAGTATGCTTGTGGAATAACTTTATAAAAAATAACACTAATAAAATATATCCTCAAACAAATACTATAAAATAACCCTAATAGTGATATCAGAGTCGCCTGGTTGGATGCGATAATAAGTCTGTTGTTTGAGGGGAGGATTGAGGATTGTTGAGATACAAATCTCATCATTATGGAGTATGCTTGTGCAATAACCTTATAAAAAATAACCCTAATAAAATATCTTCTCAAACAAATACTATAAAATAACCCCAATAGTGATATCAGAGTCGCCGGGTTGGATGCGGTAATAAGTCCCTTGTTTGAGGGGAGGATTGTTGAGATACAAACAAGTCTCACATTGTTGGGTGATGACCAAAAGCAAAATCGTGAGGATTAAGGCCCAAAGCGGACAATATCTCATCATTGTGAAGTATACTTGTGTAATAACCTTATAAAAATAACTCCATAAAATATTTCTTCCGGCAAGTGTACGAGTTATAAAAGAGATGTATATAAAAATTAAGTTTTAAATTTATTTTTTTTCGGATGCTTGTATGGCTTATTTTTCACGCTTTTTTCATTATTTTGAAGATCCTTTTTGTTTTAACATTTGTTAGTTTTTATCTTAATAAGTTTAGTGGGGCAAATTTCAAATTTTGAATACATCAAAAAAAAATATTTAAATTTGTGTCCCAAAGTAAAAAATAATTAGTCTTTCAAAATGACAACATTAACTAAAATTAAAATTTGAATTACCAAAATGAATATTTTCAATGATAAAGGATAAAAATATATGTTAATAAGATAAATGATTAAAAATATATTTTAACTTCAAAAATTTAAGATATAAATATCGTTATTGAAGGTCATATCTTGTTGAAGGTCTGGTATAGGTCCATAAATAAGGTTTTTTTACTATTTATTGATAATTATGATATTAATGCAAACTATTCACCAAATTTTCTAACAAAAAATGATAATAACACAAAAACCGGTTTGAGTTTAATGACTTGAATTGATAGTATATTTTTTTTTAATTTAATAAGAAGGTATTATTCCTTCGGCCACCACATGCCTAAGTCGAGTACCTTGAATTTGATTTTGTTGAATGTTAACTTCTTCCGTAAAAATTGTATGAATGAGAATTAAACTTTGAGAGTTTGTAATTATTTTAAAGAAAAAGTAAACAAGTTATATATTGGTTTCAATACCCAGTATCTCGATCAAGTTGAAGTTTAGGCCTAGTTAATAACATTGATTAAAATTCAAGAGTACGAACTGTGTAAAATAATGGGGAAATAGTGCAACAAAACGGGTCACTAGGCTCGTGCTTTTACCCTCTTTTATTTATTTGCACTCGCATTTCAAAAAAAGAAAATGGAAACTACCCTCAGTTACTTGTATAACGTGAGTTTCTGAAAGTATAAATATGTAATTCAAAAACTTATTTCCAGAATTTGAAGGCAAAAAAAAATCATTCAAGTGTGCATGAGTGCATGAGAAAAGAGATCATCACCTTTCTCTTGTAATCTTATTGGCTCCTATGATGTTAGATCCTGAACTCAAACAGTATTGTATATTGTGAAAAATAAATAAATACATCAAAATTTAGTTTTGAATTCATGGTTGGAGTTTTTTATATATAAAAAGAATAGCATAATCCTTCTTAACCCTTTTTTTCTGGGTTGAACACCAGTTTCCCTTTCAATTATTATCCTCAAGGAAGAAAATAACCGATTAACATAAGAATAAAAATAGGCCCTTTAAAGTTTTTTTTTATTCATTAAGGGTTTAATAGGCCCTTTAAAATAAAATAAAAAAAAAATTAATACCTTTTGTTTTAAAACAATTCCTCTTTTTTTATAAGTAGTTTTTTTATTTTTTTTTAAATCTTAAAATATCCTTAATTTTTTAATTTTACATTTCAAATGTTCAATTTAACATTTTCTCCTTCTTTTTCACACATTCCCTTTTCTCTTGTTTTCAATTTTCATTTCAAAAAAATTGAAAACAAAAAAAATTTAAACATCTCAATAAAAATTTTCAAAAAAAAATTTAAACATTCAATTTTTTAATTTCATTTCAAAAGTATTTGGGCCTTTCGGCCGTTTGAAGTTCTGAACCCACAACATTTGAACCAAAAAAAAAAGAATTGGGCTTTTGGCATTGCCATTTGAAGTTCTGAACCCACAAAGCATATCAATAAAAGTGTAAGAAAAAAAGCAAAAAATTCGCCCACCGTGGGGCTCGAACCCACGACCACAAGGTTAAGAGCCTTGCGCTCTACCGACTGAGCTAGACGGGCTTTTGTTTAATACCTAAAACAAAACATATTTATAGGAATACTTACTTCATAATTTCTTGCCACCCCTATTAATGGTCATTGGAATAATTATTAGTACATTTAAAAATTCACTTAATAATAAAAAAAATAAATTTATACTGATAAATTGATTTACTATAATCATTATTTTTTTCCGCTCATTCAATGTCTGTTATCTTGATTTATCAAAAAAATTTATTTGCAACTATTTTCTTCAACAAAATTTATTATCAACCAACTTTTTATTATTATAAATTTGTTTATTTTCTCTTGACATGTAAACTTCAGGCATGACCTATATAACTGAAAATTCTTGTTTTTATTCAATAATATTGCTTAAATAATCTAATAATATTGAAATTACAAAAAAGAATTTACAGTACACAGATAGTAACATAATGAATAAGGTTAGCAGGTTTTTTTTTATTTATGTATATATAGTAAATATTTTTTACACTATTATTAATTCATAAACCATCTTATATGATAAGTTTCTCGAGTTTAAAAAATTATGTTAAAAGTAATATTAAAGATAGTTTTTTCATTAATTAACGGTTAAAAAAAATTATAGTCAAAATGTTTATTAAACTCTTCAAGTCATCTATTTATGGTAACCCTTTTAACATTTTGTAGTAATGAAATACTTATCTTTTCTCAAGATTTAATATGAAACATCTATTCCAAAAAAATACAATATTTATATTTATTATTATTTTTCACTCGAAACTACTTCTCTTATGAACAAAGCTTAGCTATGAATAAACATAGTTTAACTATGAATAAACATTTTTATTAGTATTCTTCAATCATTTCTTACATCTAAATATATAAATTTGATTCATGTATCCCTCTCTTTGTTTATGAACTGCTTGGATGCATGTGATATGCACCAATCAAAGATTGTACTCTTGACTACATTTTTAAGGAACAGAGTTATCTATTAATTATGTTACACATTATTACTATTTATCTATTTTTATAAGACTCTTTTCAAATTTTCTTTTGTATTAATTTTTTTTAATCATTTTCTTACTTTTTTATATGTTAATTATGATAACTATTTTAAAAAAGAGTGTTGTTAGAAATAACACTTCAACAAGTATAAAAATACTTTGTATTCAATTTTTTATCTCTTCATTTACACTTCTTCAACAAGTTGTAGCTCATTATTTTTAAAAAGTGTGAGTTTTTGAATAACATTGTTTAACCTGTCTTCTAGTATTTTTTTTTTCTCCACACATCAGAACTAAAGTTTGATGAATCCAGACAACACACAACTCATACAATACAATAAGAAACAAATCTATAAGTTTTCCTTATCTCAGATCTTTCAATGAAGAAGAAAATGAAGGATCCATGGAGAAAACAAACCATCGACTTTTGTCGTACAACACTCCAATTTATGATTCTTAGCTTTGAGGCTTTAAATCTTAACTGAACTCCAACTAATGGTACTTTAGGGAAGACACGGAGCTAATCTGCAAAGTCAAAAGGGATAAAGGTTTTCTTTAGCTCCAAAGCTCCTTTCTCTAACATCTTTCTAAGTTTCTTAAGAAAATAAACTTATAAAATTTAATTCTTAAGAAAATCTTATATATCTTTCATAAACTTGGTCAACTTGACCTCCACTCAAAATAACTAAACTCATAAAAAAAATGTCTTAATCTTTAGAGTTTTTTAAAGCATTAAAAAACAACAAATCACTTAATCATTTAGTTAATAGAAATAATTAAACAATCATAAAACTCATAGTGTTATAAGAGATGTGTCAAATATGGAAGGTGTAATATTCATTTTTTTAAAGGGGGTATTTTTGTAAATTCTATTAATGGCATTTTCTCAATTTTATTAAAGTTTGAGGGGTAAATGGGTAACTTGGAACGGGCCATTCCAAGCAATAAAAAGACACTAAATTTTAAGTTGGAAACGGGTCCAGAATGGGCCGTTCCAACTGGGAGAACGGGTCATT